GCCTGGGTAATTCTCTACATAAACATGTGCCAATGGCAAGTCTCTCACACTGAAATTTTTAAAAAAAACATTCTATAAATGGATCTGTTGAGGGTATGAAACTGAGATTTGAAAGGAGAAACCCCTTTCAATCCCCCGTTCCCTACACAAAAGCTTAGAACTCAGGGGAGAAACAAGTCTCTGGTTTCTCATTTTACCCTGTACAGAGGCAAAAGACTGTTTGCACAAAGCCAGGGGCACTCTTCTTCATTAACCTGCATCTCTAATGCAGCATGTTCCCCCTCCTTTCAATTGGCTCCCTGGACTTCATGCAGTGCATACACACAAGCCAGAAGCTTCCCCCTCCCACTGCTTACCGAAGGGAATGTATATATATTTTGCTCCAGTGATCAATATAATCATTCAGGAAAACGAGTCATTCCCTGCCTTGGGACCCAATTATTTTCTCATGGAACCAACAGTTGCAAAAATATATTGTTTTACAGTTAACTGTTAAGTACTATTTTTATATACAGCTTTCTCATTCCTAATCTTTCATTATGGGGAAGAAGGCAGCTATTTAAACCAGTGAGTGATCTCAATCCTCATTCAGCCTATTAAGCAGCCTGCACCATTCACTCCTCTCCAATCTGACAATTACTGGCCTCCAGAGTGAAGAGATGTTGATGAGTCAGTGGGTGCTGCCACTCCCTTCTAAGTAGCACATGAGGCTGCCATCTCTTAGTTTTATCTGAGGGCTAGCAGTGCCACTAGGAGGAAGGGAGTGGATGTGAAACAGTCTTTTCTTTGTTCAAATTGCCCTCTGGACATCACCACCTTCACTCCTGGAAGACAGAGAGGTGGGAGAACTAATCCTAGTCCCCAGGCAGAAAAGATGGAAACCAAAGTTCATTTTAGGGAAGATATATTTTCATTCAATTGTCGATAGAGAAAAAAGAACCCAGGAGTTCTAACACTGAGTTCTATACTCTCAGGAGACCATCCCAAATGCCACTGGGTATCTACTTATGTTTTAAACCAATAAAAAAAAGGCTCCTGAAATATTCTGGGTTCCATCCATACTGCTTATAGTTTCACATTCATACCTTCTTGCCTTCTTTCATCTCTGCTTACCCAACCAACCCCTTAGGTGTCAGGAATTTTCAAGAAAGGATAAGAAGGATAATAGAAGCAAACCCTATACTGAGAGACAGTTGGATCCATTGGATCACAATAACTGGGGTAAGCGACCAGCAGTCTTGAGATCTGAATTATGTTTCTAACTCAGTAGCAGCTCTTGGGTAAATCCATTGCTCTTAGCTGGGGGGAAATACAGATATAGAACTCTCTGTCTTTGAAACTCCCTTACTCAGACTGAGCTGTCTTAACTAATGAGTCAATGACCACAAACTCACATAGCACCTCTCTTTTGCCAGCCAACAAACACTAGACCCTGCTTCCTTCCAGCTATCCACCCTGTGCCCTGATTTAGGGTCAGTGTGGAAGGCAAGGGGGTATTCAAGAGATGCCTGTGAGGTCAGAGTCCTGGAGCTCTAGCAACTGTCTTGGGAATTTAAAACCCTTCAAAACCTGGCTGCAACCTACTTTTCCAGCTTTATTACACATACCCTCCACAGACCCTTTAGTACAACAAAAACAGACTTTTTGATGCTCCTCACATAAGACATTCTATCTCATAATTCCTTATCTTTGCCTAGGCTGACCACCATGGAATGCACTCTGTCCTTACCTGTCTTAGAATCCCTAGTTTCCTTCCAAGCTTAGCTTATACTTCCTACAGGAAGCCTTTAAAAAATACATTTTATTTTCTATTGCAAACGGACAGAGCCACAAACGTTTAAAGATACAACCAAAGGATGAGCACTATATATGAAACTGCAAACTAGTTACATAGTTTAAAAACATATACTCAATGCAAAATAGTAACAAAATTACCTAGATAGTTTCTATCTCCTTCTGTTCTCTGTGTTTTTTTTTATGCTTCATTGACCCCATGAGACCTTCTCCTGATTCCAACAGGGGCTACTGCTTCCCAATTTCCAAAACAAGTTTGTATTTTGCATATATGTACATATATTAGATTTTGTGTGCTCCCCTCCCCAATAAGACATGGACTCCTTGAGGAGAAACTCCCCTACTCAGACTGAGCTGTCTTAACTAATGAGTCCATGAGCACAAACTCATATAGCTCCTCTCTTTTGCCAGCCAACAACCACTAGACCCTGCTTCCTTCCAGCTATCCACCCTGTGCCCTACGGTATACTGCCTGCTACCTGCTCTGGGAACTGTAATCAAAATAATACTGCCAATGCTTCCAGAACAGTCAAGTTGATCAACTTCCCTTTTACTCCATTCACCATCCCTGTGGCTTTCTAAGCCAAAATACCCTTCCCTGGCCACTACTCCCCTAGACATGTTATCCTTCCATTTGAATGTAAGCTCTTTAAGGGGAAAGACTCTCAATTTTGTATTAATATCTTGAGTGCTTTACACATAGTAATTACATAATACAAGCTTTTCATTCATTCAACAAATCTTCACATGGCACATTCTACAGTCCTCTACAATCCTTATTCTGGTCTCCCTCTTTATATTAGCTTGTCTATGTGTTTCCTAAAACATGACATCTAGAACTAAACTCAGATGTGGACTGACCAGATCAGAGTATATGACTTTCCTTCTGGGGTCATTATGCCTTTCTTTTAAAAAAAAAAAAAGCAACTTAGCATCACATTAACTTGACTCCTGAAAAGCTTGCCATCCAGTAAACATTCCAGAATTTTTCCCATAGGAATTGTTGTCTAGACATGTCTCCCCCAATATGTACTTGTGAAGTTGACTTGATGAACCCAAGTTGAAATCTTATTCAGCGCAGCACATCATTCTAGTCTGTTGAGTTCTTTTTTGATCCAGACTGTTATACAACATTCTAGTTATCTCTCCAAGTGTCATGTTATTCTGTAAATTTGACAAGTATGTCTTCTCTGCCTTCATCCAAGTCAGATAAAAATGTTGAATAGCAAAGGGCCAAGGACAGATCCTTGGGGCAACTCCCTCTAAGTCAAGGTCTGTGAACCTTTTCTGTATTATGGTAAGGCCTACGTACCTCTTTCCCAGAATAATGTTTTTAAATGCACAAAGTAAAATAAAAATGCATAGGACCATGAAGGAAACCAATTATAATGAACTTTAGTAGTTATTGCTTCCTTAAACCACAAGTTCCAAGATACCTGTTCTAAACTGACATCAATCCTGCGGGTCCAGTTATCATACCAGTTCCAAATTCACACAAATGGACTGTCAGCCCATATCTCTGCATAGTGAAAAAGTGTTATTCATCACAGTCTACTTTGTATCATGAGAAGCAGTGTGGCACAGCCGATAGTGCTGAACTTGAAATGAGAGAGAAAAGGGATCAAATCCTGCTTCTGATACATTGTTGTGTGGCCATTGTATAGATCTTATACTAGACTAAGCTCCTGGAGAGCAGGACCTATGTCATAGTAATCTTTATAGCCCACTCAGTGACTAGCATGGGGTCTTGAACTACTTAGTAAATGTTCAAATGAACTGTCTTGCTAGTAGAGAGAAGGGAGGGCTGGGAGTAGAGTGTGGAGTTACTGCACTCAGTTGAAATCTTGCAAACTAAGTTGTTAGGGACATCACTGGAGTAAGAGTTAATAATTACTTCTTGCTTCCAATCAATTCAAGATGGAACCCTTCCCTGCCAAAAAAGAAAATGGTCTCCACGATTGTAAAAGTATTCAACTGCAAACTATATTTTCAGTAAATTTACTAGGGATAGTGACATTGGGGAAAATCAGAAGACAGTTAATGAAGTTGGTTGGCATAATAGGCAGGCTCACTTCTTAAAGTCACTTTCTCTGAGAGGAGCACCAGGAAGACTAATTTAAAGTTGGTTTAAAAAAAAGTATAAGGGGAGTTCAAAGCATCGACAACACTATATGGCCATCTGGCAGTTTAAACTGATAAAGATTGTACAAGATTACAAAGATTGTAGAAGAACTTGACAGACGTAAATCCCCTTTCAAGACTCTGTTCTCTTACAAATGAGAAAAAGTCTGAACACACCTAACTCGATCCAAATCCAAAGTTTCTCCAGACTAGGCCACTATAACGTGACTCAGAAGGGGCTGAAGGCACTGAAGGCGATCTCATTTTAAGATCAGTAAGAACAGACATCTATTCGCCATCACCTACACAGAAAAGCTAAAAAAAAAACACCAAAAACCCTCTGCATCATTTTTATTTTGCTGCATCCCTCGAAGGTGGCACCATCCCAAGTTCACAGATGAGTCAACTAAGGTACTAACTTCGGACATCATACCTAATCCCTTTCCAGTCTGAGGATTGGGGGTATTTTTACCCTCTTTCCCAACCTAAAAAAAAGCTGCCGGACAGACTCCAACCAAGCATTTACCAATCAGTTGACATGGGTAAGCACTAGTTACGTGCCAATCACTGAAGGACGTAGAAGTGAAACAGACTCTGCCCTCAAAGAACTTTTCTACAGGGGGAGTACTTTGATTGAGCCTCAACCACCTTATCTGGGGCTTTTCTGAGCAAAAAAATAAACAAAGTCTCGAGGCTCATCTATTCCCCACCTAGAGCTTTAACACGTGCTCGGAGGTGGGGGGCGGGGAGGAAAGGGTGACTTATTTTGAGGTGTCGTTTAACCTAACTCCCGTCCCCTCCACCTGCTGGGTCACAACCCGCAAAAGGCCTGGGGTCCTGTAAAGGTTCTTCCGATATGAGGGGCTTCGGGGCAGCCACTCACTCGGCTGAAAAACGCCTTCTTTTCTGGTAAAACTAAAGAGCCACGCTTGAGAGGGCCCGTCCGGGAGCCTCCTTCCCGCCCCGAGCCGGTCCTCCGCCGGACAGGCTGGGCGCGGGGCAGTGGCCCCCGCTCCGGGGATCTGTCCCTCACTTCCAGCTCCCAGGGCCCAGGGTGAGGGACGGCTGGCCACCTGCTCGCCTACCTGGCCTCGGGGGCCCGCGGAGGAAGAACGAGGCGAGGCCGCGCGGCTCTAACTGGGTGAGGAGGAGGGGTCCGGCTCCGGGCCGTGGCGTCACGCGCACGTCACCGTCACCTGCCCGGCCGCCGTGCGCGCCCCTAGCCACGGGCGGCCGAGCTCACGGGGCACGGTCAAGGCTGACTGCGCGGTCAGCGCCCGCCCTGCTGCGGAAGCCTGGGATGAGACGACAAAGTAGGAGAGGGGCTCCGGCCGGAGGGACTCCCGAGGCTCACCTCCACCTGCCGGCCCGGCCCCACCTTTTCCCTAGCTCTCCTTTCCCTTCAAACAGCTACCTCTCGCGGCCTCACCGACCCAGTAACAGGCAGCACCACCATTGGTCAGCTTGGGGCGAGCCGCGCCAATGGTCCAATCATGGCCGTGCTTATTGGGAGATCTTGCCCAGGGCCAGAAGCCGGAACGAGTTGGGGCGTGACTTCCCCCCTCTCCTCCAGGGGTCTGGGCTAGGGTTAAAGTAGAGGATGGAAGAAGTAGATGGAAGAAAATGGGTGGGAGAATCCGTCAAACGAGTGCCCAGCCTACCCCAATGGAGGACGGAGTCTCAGCCCCTCCAGTAGCTTATCTTCTAGTTGCAAAAATAAGAGTGATGCACGTTTACCAATTACAGGACGATGCAGAGCTAATTATGAAATAATCGTGAACTAGAATGTAGGGCAAGTTTCTAATTCAGAAGATTAGGCCCTCCACCTCCTTCTAGCAATTAAATTTAGCAACTACGTTGCTTGGGGAAAGTTCTTTTAGAGCCTTGAGAGTTGGGATCCAAGAGCTGCAACAAAGTATCTGTGTGATGTTGGGCAAGCCTCTCTGGAATTGTTATTATACCTCACCTCATCGGTAAAATGAGAATGCTGGAATGGGTGATCTCTAAGGCTCCTTCCAGTTCTAAATCTTATCCAGACTATCCTGCTTCCTCACCTTTGCCGAGATTGCTGTTCCTCTTCCTCAGTCTTAATGGTATCAAATAAAATAACGTGTACATTGCTTTGCAAACCTTAAAGCACTATATAAACGCTGGCTATTACCCCACTCATCTTTCCGAGCCAAGATAAAGTCCAATCTCCACTTTAATGCCTTCCCTGAAAGACCTAGCCTAGTCATCTCTTTATTAAACTTCTCCACCTGTACTATACACTTGGCACTTATCCAATCCTTTGTGTTGCTTTTTAATTTTTCATGTGTGTCTTTCTATAAGATGGATTGAGTGTTAATACTTCTTTGTAGGCTCCACAAAGTCCAATACTGTGCCTTGTACATAATTCTCAATATTTATTGAATGAATATAAATTGAATTAATTTTAATGGGTATTAGCACAGTTATTGGAGAGCAAAGTACTGCTGGAATAAAAAAAAAAAAAGTTAGGCACCTGTAAGGAGGCAGGAGCCTGGGAAGAGGTATACCAAAACCAAATCTCCTTTATTTCACAATTTCACCTACTACCAGCCTTCCACTTCAAAGAAGAACCAAACACATAACACACTCTCTCTAAGAAAAGGCTGTTGCCAGCCTTCAACCAGCCTTCCCAGGCACAACTGAAAAATGACTGTATTGTTTATATTTTCATGAAATTTAACATTTATGACATTTTGGCCACTCCTCTTCTGGAACTGACTTCAGAGTCAGTTTCTGAGCTCCATAAAAACATTTATCCATTTTTCTTCATACCTCATTTTAGAACCCAAAAGGTATTAACCATTTTTTTTCTTACCTGCTTTATCCACAAGGGCAGTAAAGGAAACAAAGATGAGCTGGACCAGGTACCTGTTCTCAAGGGGCTTACAATCAAGGGAAATAGTGTTGTTCATCCTTTGTTTCAAAGAAGACCGATGACATCGTGGAGTAATGTCCTGACTGGCTCATGAATTGAATTTAAGTGAGGCAGAGTTGCACAAAGTTGTCAGTCTCCCTCTTCCTACGTCATCAAAGTCCAGTGGCAGGATAAAAGTCAAGACAATTGGTGATGGCCCAGGATTCAGTAGATGACCTTGGCATCTTCAATGTCTGAATAAGCTCTGGGGCTTAGACACCGCCTGCTTCAACCTCCTACATGACTGTTGAAAATAAACTGTTCTCATCCACCATTCCGATGAAGTCTTTATAAGCTTGGGGTAGACATTCTCCTAACTCACTGAGGGCTTTGAAGCCTGTTGGTTACCCTCAACCTGGTTCAGACCTTCAGCTGAGATGGTTTACCAGGATGTGGGCACTAAACATGCTACAGTTTCCTGGAACCACATATCAGAGTTGGGTGACAGGTGGACACCAAATGATGAGCAGCCCTGAAAGGGGCTTGGCAAGCCCTCTCACCAGAGGTGTTAGGCCACCCTGAACACCCCATATACCCCAGGAGATAATGAAAGGTGTGGTAGAAGTACATTTACTAAGATCTCTGATATGTAGTCTCCACTTTTTTCCCCCCAAAGCTTAATTGGTCTAGGGGCCTAGGGCTCAAGAAGTTGACTCAGCTTTCCATTCACCTATGACATTAAAAAAAAAAACAGCCCATGAGTAGTCCAGAGACCTTCAGACTAAATAGATGGGCCAGTGCTGGAAAAATAAAAAGATAGTTTAGCCTTTCCATATCATTAAAAAATAAAATTCAAGTCACCACCCCCATCTGACCAGACATACCTGGTGGACCAGATTCATTTCCTTATGGAAACTAGGGGGAATTTATCTATGGAACTAGTGCTATATCCTTGCTGATTGAAAGTGCTATTGTTAATAAGTAAACTTTTGGGAAATTGATATACAATAGTGATTTTAAACTCAAATAGAAACATATCTTTGATAGGAATTTACTGAGGAAAAAAACACAAATTAACATCACCTGTGTTGGACTGTATTTTTATTTATTTTATTAAACATTTCCCAATTATATTTTAATCTGGTCCAAGCTTCACTCCTATCTAGCCAGCATTTGACACCTCTGGTTTGAAGTGTCTCATTTTGTTCCAATTCCAAGCCTGAACCACTGGCCTAACCTGAGTCATACCTGGCATACATTTGGCCACATAATTAGGTGGATTAGATCAGAATGAGCTCATGGTTTTCATAATTGAAGTGGAGGAAGGCATCCTGTGACTTTGGTAGGCAAGTCCTCTCAGTGGGACAGAAGGAGGGCACACATTGGCCCAAATGGATTAACCTGGTAGGTGCTAAAGAAGGTTGATGTAGAGGATAAAGATAGTGCCAAGATGAACATTTCTTTTTTAGTGTTAATGATGCTAAAAAAAGTGGATCACTAGCATAAGGAAAAAGAAATGAGTAAGCTATGTGTATTCAACAACTGAAGAAAGACTTCTTGGCTTTTTTTTTTTTTAAGCAGAGGGGCAGCTGATGACCTTGGTAACAGTACAAATAAGAGCCAATGGTGATGGGGATGGGAACCCAACAGGTTATATAGGTATGTTCTCTAGCCCAGAGATCAACCTGGAAAATATGTTCAATCCTGCTGAGATCAGGGCTAAAGGGAAGAGAATGTGAGCAGGAATAAGGATAAGAACTGGGAATCATCCCTGCTAATAAGAGAGTCACAGATGCACTCTTTTACTACTGCTGGCCAGGGGAGGGAGAGGTCTGAGGGTGAACAGGCTTTCACCATTTCAGAAGCTGGTAGGCCACAACAGGCGCAGAAGAAGTTTAAATAACAATAGCTGCTGAGGGCGTGCTCCCAAATAAGCAATGTAGAGCCCCTCCCTGCAGTTTTCCATCAATTTGGGAAACCCACAGACCATCTATTTTTGAAAAGCCAATAAAATCAGTAAAAAGCCCTCAGATGCTGACCATCTTTTGCCCCCTTTAAGGGATTTAAACCAGGAGTGGTGCATGCCTAGCTCAATAAAGATGAGTTTCTATTGCAGTTGGATCCCAGATGGAAGTACTAGGGTGAGGGGTTGGGAAGGTGATTCCTAAAAGAGTTGGTATTCTGGACCAGGCCTAATTCAGACCAATCCAGTGATTCTGGCTCAGGATTAGAATGCAGTGAGACCCTAGTGGACAACATATATCAATAAAAGCAAATTTATTTAATATTAAAAAGGATACACTTCAGATAAAATATTCTCCCTCATCTCTGCATTCATCAGATTTCAGGAAGAAGCTAGCATAAAATGGACCTGGAGGAGGAGCTTAATACAAATCATAAAAACATAAAACAATACAATTTTTTAAAAGTAAAAAATACGGTGAAAGTATTATCAGGCCCAGGTTAGAGCAGATCTCATAAAAGACAATCATAATAACCAGGAACAGTACCAGGAAAGCAGGTTCACATCACAGAAGACAGTATCTTCAAAGTCATCACCAGTCCCCATCACAGGTCTGGATCATCTACGACAAAGAAAGTAACTAAGAGGTCATGCCTCCGGCAAGCAATCTATCCCTTGGCCTGAGGTGATGTGGGGATTCTGTCTGTACCAACACCCACACATTTAAAAGAAAATGCACAGAAGAAAACTGAAGGAAGTTTAGAAGAAAAAACAAATAGGACTGCTTTGAAATTAATATCAGATCTCCTAGTTGAGCCCAAAGTTAGATCTTATAAACAAGACTGAAGGAGATCAACAAGCCAAGATTGAAAATCATATAAATATAGAAGAAAAAGTTGGGACAGAGAACAAGATAGAAAATCTAAGAGAAAAGGACAGAAAATAAAATTAACTTATCTTAACCTAATTCTTTCACATCGTAGCACAAGAAAGAACCATAAAGTACAAAGAGTAGACCTTTCCATAAGACAAGAGGGAATTTGAAGATTTTTTTTTTAAAGCATGAAGTCCACAAGTCAAGAAAAACAGTGAAAACACAAATACTGGAATGGAAGGAAAGTGATACTAAGAATGAAGTCAATGGCACCACTGAAGCCATTAAATCTGAAGGTGACACTGAGTCTAATAACAATGATCTGATAAATGTGAATACTGCTGAGATCAGGGATATAAGAGAAGAGAATGGGAGTGGGAGTGAAGATGAGATGAGAACTGAGAATGTTCTCCAGTAGTGAGAGAAGCTCAGTCTCACCCTATTACTATCATCTAGAGGGTGACTCCTGGAGGTAGGGAGGTGGGAGGTCGTGAGGGTGGGAAGATCATGATCTAAAAAGTTTCCAAATAATTCTGAAGCTATCTTAAAGATCAATTTTAAAATGAGATAAAAGAAAACTGTCCTGGAACAGAAACACAAATAAAGTTCAGTTAGAAATTTCTAATTAAAAATAAATTCAGGACATGCTGTGACCTTCCAGATGTTAATCCTGAGACATTCCAGTCAGGGCTCAGCTGCTCAACCCCTACCACCAGCAGCAGGTTGTGTCTGTAGAGGAGTGGTTGTTACTATGCATGGGTCCTATGGACAACCCTATGGGTGACAGTTCTCCTTAATAGTAGAACTAAAGCTCTTACTGGTAGGCTTCCCTTTACTCAGCTAGTAGATTCAGTTTTTTAGCAAAGAACTCAAATGGCATAGCAAGGTCAGTAGTTACAAAGCATTTCTCCCAATTATCAGGGGCATAGTCTCTCATGAACATACTCAATCCCTCTGGGAAGAAGAGTGAGACCAGACTTATAAAGAACATGCATAGGGTACACATGTGGCCAAGGCAATTCACAACTCCAGCACCACAAAGATTCAATATCCTTTCTCTTTCAGGAAGATACGAAGGAGTTCATTCACCTCAGAACATTCCCTCATTTCCCACCTGGCTGAAGTACTTTGGGACTTCTCTGACTTTTCCACCATGTCCCAGATAGTCCATTATTGGGAAAACTTCATTATCCTGTAAAATTCCATTAGCTTTGGTACTCTACCTCCTCACTAGCCTCTGTCCTACTTTTGCAGAGTAGAGTCATGAGCCACCCCCCCCATTTCTTCAGCTTCCTTTTGTGTGTGTTCTTCCCCAATTAAATTGTAAGCTCTTTGAGGGCAGGCAGGGACTATCTTTTTTTTCATTACCACCCCCTCTCACTCCCCTCATCTCCCCCCCCTCCATAGAAGGCCTCCTCCCTTAACACAGTGCCTGGTACATGGTAAGCATCTAATAAATATTTAATAATGATGATGATAGTGTCAGATATGTCCACCTGAAATCAAGAAGACTACCAATGTAGCAAAATATAGGCTCTCTAATAGAGGCAAGAGAATTGCAATTCAGAGACACCAGGAAGTAACAAAGTACTGGAGTGCCCAAGACCGGTAGGGTTAAATACATTTCAATAGGGAGGGAGTCCCAAGGGAGCCACATCCCCTAGAAGCTGTTAAGTAAGTTGTTTTGTATAACAACTGAAAATTCATAGAAAAGTCTAGGGAGGCTCAGGAGTGGTAACAGCTGGTCCTCTTTTCCTTTTTTTTTTTTTTAAACTAGTTTGGATGGTCCTCTTTTAACTGATATCAGTCCTCCTCAGGCAATTTGTAGCTCTGGATCTGGCAAGGTCAGCTCTTAGTTAGCTTCATTCAACAATAGTTAATATCTATACAGCACTTACTAGAGGCCCCACACTATGCAAAACACTCTACAATTATTACCTCATTTGATCTTCGCAATAACCCTGGAGGTTAGGTGCTATTATTATGCCCATTTTGTTGTGAGATGGAGGTTAAGTTACTTGCCCAGGCTAATACTTCATTGACTGTGAGCTGTTAAATGTTACAGAACAAATCCTTTTATTAAGGGGATTTATTCTGGGAAGTTTGGATTCAGTCACAGGACTGTACTTGAGGACCTAGAGGGCCACATCTGGCCTGGAAGCCCCAGGTTCCCCATTCCTGAGCTGGGTTGTCTCCAGTGCCAATGGGGCAGGCTCCTGAGCTATTGTGCTCATCTAAAAGTGTGGTGTCTCTGCCTTTGGTCCCAGGTCCCTGAACCTTGATGGGGAGTGACAGTCCTTCTACCCACAGCCTTCTCACAACAAATCTGGGAAGCAGATGCTATAATTATCCACATTTTACAGTTGAGGAAACTGAGGTAGACAAAGGTTAAGTGACTTGTCCACGGTCACACAGCTAGTGTTTGAGGCTGGATTTGAACACAGTAATCCTGACTCCAGACTCAGTGCTCTATCCACTGCTCCACATCATTATGCTTAAGTAAATAATAAGAAAAATTATTTCTAATGCAATAAAAACTTTTCTTAAGATTAAAAAGGATACAATTCAGATAAAATGCTGGCTACTCCACAGTCACCCTAGCAATGGTCAGACTAGGTCAGAAAGGAGTCCTCACACTACAGTGTGCCTTCTCTCTGTTGATTATTTCCTATTTATTCTGTATACAGCTTGTTTGTACATAGTTGTTAGCAGTTTGTCCATTAGCTGGTAAGCTTCTGGAATGCAGGATCTGTCTTTTACCTTTCTTTGTATCCCCAGCGTTTAGCACAGTGCCTGGCACACCGTGGGCTCTTAATAAATGCTTATTGACTCAGTCACTGAGCTAAATCTCTGAACCCAACTCCCAAGCTTCAAGAGGCAAAGAAGCCTCTTTGTAATGAAAGGGCCTCCCCAACTACTAACCAGTTGATCCTGCCGCTCCTATCATTCATTAATGGGTTTAGTAGACATCAGAATTTAATCTGCGGCAGTATGCCCAGGAACCAGGTGGAGTGGAGGAAGGGGGAGGGGGTGTAGATTAGCTCTCACCTTTTGCATGGAGGTCCATCTGAACCTTAGCTATGGGCTAAAGAGAACCTTTCCCATTTCCCTCCATCCCCCACAGTTAGTCCTTCTCCCCCAGACCCTCCCCCCAAGAAACACTCCCGCTCTGGAGAATTCCCCTCCTGCCTGCACCCTCGGGCCTCTGTCTCTCACTTACCCCAGAACGGTAACGGTTATTAACAGTAGCAAATAAACTGCTCGCTTAGGGCTTTGGGTTAACTAAGGGTAGGTTAAGGTCAAATCTCAGGTCTTGGAAAAGTCCATGTGAGGTACCCTAGGTAGGCACTGAACTACAACTCCCAGCATCCCACGGGGCAGCTCATGCTCTTAAGAAAGTGTCTACCCTCCCCCACCTTTGAGGCCAGTCTTTCCTCGAAAGGCATCCGAATCCCGAAGACCTCCGGGGACCATCGCTCCTCCAAGAAGACTTTACTGTTAGCTGCGACCCGCCCTCTGACCTCGTGATTTCTGGGTAACGTAGTCCGTTCTGATCGGTTCTCAGAAAATGAACTCTCCCCTTCTACCCGTTCGTTCCCTTCCGTAAAGACTACGAAACCCAGAAAACATCGCCGGTTCCTCCTCGTCCAATAGCAGTCCCTCATGTAGCGGGGCGCGGAGCCCGGCTCTCCCAACTCAAGATGGCGGATGAGAGTGAGACAGCAGTGAAGCAGCCACCGCCGCCGCCGCCTCCGGCGCCGCAGCTGATGGAAGGGAACGGGAACGGCCATGAGCACTGCAGCGACTGCGAGAACGAGGAGGAGAACAGCTACAACCGGGGGTAACGAGTTCCTCCGAGTCCACTTCCTAATCCGTCTCCTCACAACCTGAGTCTCGGGGAGGGGGGGAAGGGGGGTTGTGGGGAACAGCACGGAGCCTAGTCTAACCCCACCTTCGTATTCTCATTTGCTAAGGCGATGGGATTCTGACTGGTGATTGGCTACTTTCTTTGTCAATTACCAGGGGTGGGGACTGTGCAATCAGGGCCTGAGACATTCAATACTCCTATTATATAAAAGTTCTCTGTTATAGTAGTACCCCAGTGTGCTACAGGCCCAACTGAGGGAGGGCTGTTTTTTGTTTATAGTTTTTGTGGCACAACATTTTGGATCCCAATCACAATGTCCTCCAAAGAAAGGAAAGCTACAGAGAGAGAGATGCCCAGTGTAGAGAATAACCTATTCCCAATAAACTAGCAATAAATAGTTCCCTTTAGTGTAGTGCCTTTACCAGCGAAGAAGCCCAACAGGCTTTACAAACCATAATTACGTTGTAAAATAACATTTTGTATCCTTATGTTGCTGCTCGTCACCACCAAAGGATCCGTAGGTCTGAAAGGCCTTATAAACCCTAGGTGGTAGTTATAAGAATCTGATGCCCCTTGTCCCAAAGAGTCCATAAGATTCACGAGCATCATATAATTAGGTATACTAGCATATTTGTACCGTTATCTGTCAAAGTTAGAGGCTGCCAGACATAGTAGATGGAGGGGTGACCTCCCAGGTTGGTTCTAACCTGGGCAGTAGTTGGACCTCTGAAATCTAGCCTTGTTAGAATAAGAAAGTCATTTAGTGCTCTAGGCAACCCTGTAAGATTTATAAGTTACCGATGACTTGCTGATTTGCATCTGCATCAGGAATTTCAATACTGGGAGTTCCCAGATAAACGCAGATTCTTGTGGGCAGGGACTGTATGGTTTTTGTCTTTGTATATTGTGCCTGGCACATTAAGTAGGCTTAATAAATGCCTGGTGAATTGATAAAATCACAAGTCCGGACAAAAACAAAACCATCCAAGTACCCTCTCCCACAAAATTCAAGGAGATAGAATGGAGTTGTGCTTTATATCCAATGGTTCTGGGTCTAATACAGCATCCTTTGTTCAACGTTTTAAGGAGAGTAGTGATTATTAAACTTCCTTTTCTAGCCTTACACAACTGTTTTATACAGTACTATCCTCAAAAAAGAAGGAAATTGATTTGGGCATTGGAATGTGAAAGATTTTTTTTTTATGGGTCAGGTTTTTGCCTTAGAGCATCCAAACCATTGCTTACAAGCTGGAGCCAGCCATTTATTTTCACACTGTTTCAGAGTTTAAGTTCTTTACCAAAAGGTATGGTGGTGTGTGTGATAAGACTCTAAAGTAGGTGTGAGTTTGATCATAGTAGCCATGCTGATAATTTCTTGTATTGGTCTTGGCCTAGCAACAAGTATCCTCCAAAAAGTGAGAAAAAGACATCTTGTCAGAGTTTTGGTTTTATAATTTAATATGTTGCAGTGAGTATTTCATAGAAGATACATTGTTATAAAAGCTTACAAAAAGGAAGAAGCGGAACAGGAAGGAAGCTGCAGTTGTCCCAGAGAGAGGTTAAAGTCAGATATGAGAATTGCTGAAAGTGAAAGTCATTTCTGGAGCAGGAGAATTAGTCTTTTTCTTTTCTCTTTAGATAGTTTGTTTTAACCTTCCTTGCAGAACAGTGGCTGTGAGTACATCCTCCTCTCTCTGTAGGACTAAAGCTAGTTTTGTTTTCTGTAATCTCTTTTTCTGTTTCTTAAATCCTTTTGAGAAATCTTTTCTCAGAATCTTTTTGTTGTTACAGTATAACAAAGTGGCAGCTTTTTTAAAAAGCGAAGTTCAGTACTTGGTTTTGTTCTGTTGGCACAAATGAGCTTCTAATATCACTCTAGGTGTGAATAGAAATGTGAATAAATGAAAAATGAAGGCTGCATTGTAGAGGGAAAGTACTAGTTCTGGTTCTTAGACTTTAAAAATGTGTGTGCAGCTCTTATCTGAGATAAGTTCTTTGCTTTTGGTGTAACCAGAGGGACTCAATTCTGCCCTTGTTCCACAGGTATAAGACTCTTCAGTCCCTTATGCACAGAGTGAAAAAAAAATCACATTTCACTTCTACCACCTTTTTTTTCTTTCTTCAAAGACTAATGTTACAAATTTTGTGCATTTGTGAAGTGCCAAAATAATTTCATAATCTTCAGATGTGGGGTAGAAACCTTCTATAGAATACTCAATGAAAATTAATGGTAGGAAAGGTATTCCTGAAATTCTCTTAGGCCTTTATATTGATGTTGATCATAGCACATACGAGTTGTAAATGGTTCACTGAGTGAATGGTAACAGACTTTGAAATTCAATTAGGCAAACTCTTTATGTCCTTGAAGTTATTATTAATTTTTAAAAACATTACATGATAAAGTGCTTTCATAGACATTCTCACGTGATTTTCCCAGTGGACTGTGACATAATGACTTATGTCTTGATCTCTCAGTAATTTTGCATTCTTTATTAATTAATAGAACATAAGTATTCTGGGTGAATGCTGTAGAAAAATGAACTTGTGTGCAAATTTTTTTCTTCTAATTTTCTAAGAAAGGGTATTCTTCTTAAGGGTATTAGGTATTTGAATAAATAAAATTCATATTCTTATTTGTCTTAAGATGACTTTTTCTGGACAGATGAGGATCTTGGACTAGATAATCTCCAAGATCCCTTACTAAAATTCTATTATTTTAAATGATAAGGCTCTACAGAAGCCTTTGCTCATCTGTATGCTTTATGGTGGTGGTATTTTTGTTGTTGTTATTTGTTTTTAATGTAGAACTTCCAAAGAAGTAGTACTACAAAACATTTAGTACCATAATAGAGGGAAAAATAATAATCGATGTTTCTCGGAATGAGAGGGATGGATACAATTTATTTCCTGAATTCCATAGTGGTTGGTATAATGAATATATACTCTAAGCTGTCAGGAGAGTTCCTCTGTGCTGTGCAATATCAAAACAGAATTATTTCTGATTTATTTTGTCACCAATCCCATTGAGATATTGATAAGCCTTTGGGTTAAAAGCCCATTGATCAGGGTGCACATATTCTTTGGCATTTTCTCCATCATAAGATGGGAACATGTTCTCTTGAAATATTTCTCTACAATGGCATGTTCATTAAAAATTTTTTTAATTCAATTTTATTTTATTTTCAGTTCTGAATTATCTTGGCAATGGCAAGAAAAATTAAATCCATTACAAATATCTATAATTATGCAAAATAAATTCACACATTAGCCATGTCCAAAAAAGAGAGACAAAAAATATGTTTTAATCTGTAATCTGAGTCTATTAGCTCTCTATCTGAAGGTACATAGCATATTTCATCATGAGTCCTCTGGAATTGTGTTTGGTCATTGTATTGAACAGAGTTACCAAGTCTTTCAAAGTTGATTGTCTTTACAATATAGCAGTTAATTGTATAAATTGTTCTCCTGGTTGTGTTCACTTTGCATAAGTTTATACAGGTCTTCAGGTTTTTCTGAAGCCATCCCTTTTATCATTTCTCCGGGCACAATAGTATTTTATCACGAGCATATATCATGTTTGGCCAATCCAAAATTGATGGACATCCTCTCAGTTTCCAATTCTTTGCCACTTTCCAAACTCAATATTCAATCAACATGCCTACTATATGCTGAGCATTATGCTTAGAGATGGGATAGAATTACAAAATAGAGGCATCTCAGCCCTTGAGAAGCTTACACTCTACTAGAGGGATCATTTTAACGTTTTCTCCTACCTCTCAGTCAGAAGGGTTTATCTTCCATGGAGAAGCACAAGAGAAAAGAAGGGTCTTAGAAGTATATTATATAAATTTGCTTTTAGTTAAGCAGTTTTGTTTTTATTCTTCAGCTGCCCCATGTGTGATACTTTCTATACCCATCTGATGGCTTTGTTTGCTTGAGGCTCATGAAAAGAAGGACTCTTTTTCAGTCTGTTTTTCCTTTTCCCCTCCAGCATCCAGTTTTCAAAACCAGATCAAAGCAGAAACAGAGAAACCTCATTACTGATATCAAATAAGCTTTCTAATTTTATTTCCCAATTAAGAGGAGATGTAAAAAGAAACTAATCAAGGACTGCTTCAAAGAGAAGAGAAGCTCAGAAGAAGAAGAAATGAGGAGTAAATGAGAATCTATTTCAGGGAGGCTGTTGCTTGTGGCAAACCAGTTTTGCTGATTCTTCACATTTCTAGACTAACCTGCTCACTAGTTTTATTTCCTAGTTTACTAACAGTTATTATTAATTATTTATTAAGTTTATTAATTTAACATTAACAGTTAATACCTTCATTCAGAGATGCTTTTAAAAGACCAAAATGTACCATCTAGGCAGTGCCCAGGTCTTGGTAACTTAGTATGTTTTTATATTTTTCATAAACTCTTTAGCATTGAAATGATAATTTCGTGTGATAGAGTGCTTAATGGTTTATCAAGCACTTTGCTTACAACCACCCTAAGGTATAGGTAGTATATGTTATTTTACCTGTTTACAGATGAGGAAGAGGGGTAAAGTGACTTCCTCATGGTTATACCACTTGTATTAGAGGTAGGTTTGTACTCAGGTCTCTTATCTCCAAGTCCAGGACTATTTGCACTATAACCCTCTCCATGCCATTGCTACAATTCTGCTGACACTTCTCAGAAGTAGATACTGTTGCTGTCTTGGGGTTAAAAGACTCAAGCAGATACATAGCGTTCTCTTCAAGCCTGCTGTTTTTAAGTGTAAGGAATTTTGATTTTAAGATATAATTGAAAGATCCAACCTTAGTTAATGATTTATTTTAAGTTATTTTAAATTATGGGCTAACCCTAACCTTCTGTTTCCTCAAACCTCATAAACTCTTGCATTTCATCTCAGCCACACACAGGGATGGCTACACCCTCGATTTTGATATTACTCAGAAATGTTCCATCTCTGAGATCAAAAACTGATATTCTTC